GTTAGGAGAAAAATGAAGAGGGCAAAAGATGCTTTTAACTTTCTAGCAGGATGCTGCTGCTGCTGCTGCTGATATTCATTCAATCATAACATATTTTTGGTGATTCTATGGACCAGCTCTTTCCTATTTTCTGATTTTATACTGCTTTCAGTTGTTTTATGCTCTGGCTAGTGTTGATTTTGCTCACAAATATAATACAGGCATTTTTCATTGAAGAACAGTTTTGAAAGTACTAGAAAGACTTCTAAGGCAATACTCATATACTTAGGAACAGGATTCAGTAATGTGCACATAATGCATGCTAGCTTGTTGAGGAGCAATAATATAACAGTACATCCCAGTGACCAGTTGTTTCCTGTGATTATATTATAATTTTTGCCTGTTTCCTAATTAATAATAATAATAATAATTGTAAAGGAATAGTTTCAAAAGAATTTGTCAAATGACTTTCTATGAATGTCTTTTAGTCATGACTGAAAAATAGCATTTGTTTTTACTTTCCTTCTTAGATAAAATTACAGGAAAGATTTTGATAATCAGAAGAATAAGTTCTACCTACCATTAGACATGGTGAATTTAGTACATGCCAGAAAAGCCCAGTCTTTGATCAGTGATCAGGAATATAGACAACTGCTTCATGATTATACATCGCTGTCGGAGGATATGAGGCTGCAGTGTGCTAAAAAGCTTACAAACTACAGAGTGAGGTAAATTATGGTTCTGCATACCATGTTTAATTGAGGGGTGAACATTTTCTGTTAGACAGAGAGACAGATCCATCTTTAGCGAAAATCACATTTGAAAATTGGGCAAGGTCAGATTCAAATCAAAGTGGGCTGAGCCATTTAAAGTATACTTTTATAATAATAAATTATAGTTTTATAATCATTTATTTTCCTCCCTTAATCAGTATAAATCAGGAGTCCCCAAACTTTGGGCGATGGCTCAATAGTGGCCATGAGCTATTTACCACTGGACACGGAAAATGGTGTGCAAGTGTACATGCATCCCCACTTGCGCAAGCAGTAGGCAAGTGCGTGCATACGCTCTCCATTTGGGTGAGCAGTTGGTGCATATGCACATTGCTAGTGCAAATGGAGCTGTGCCCATACATGTGCTTGCACGGAAACCATCCGCTCTTTCCCCCAGCTGATCTGCAAAGCAGAAAGATTGAGGATTCTGGTATAAATAGACCTCCCATTCTGCTCCTATGAAAATTTAAAGACTGGGTTTTAAGAATATATTTTCTAATTTATTTATGTATTGTATGTACTAGATTTATATGCTGCTTAAATTCAATAGGTCTCTTGAATAGTTTATATTCAGTTCTTAAAATAACACAGCAATTTCTTGAACTCCTCAGTAGTCCAAGGAGCTCTGCTTGCTCAGATGCAATTTCATCACAAAGCCACTGTTGTCCTCACATTCAAGCTAACAATTAAATCTCAGTGGACTTATTTAGGAATCTCCCTAATACCCTCTGGAAATGACTTGGATTCACAAATTTCAGCAATGTCCATTCTCCTTGTTGATGACATTGACACTGTGCAATAGAAATCAGAGCTATTTTACCACGACAAAGGACATATATTAATCAGACTGTGTTGTGGGTATAACATGCTATCTCCCATGAAAATTTTGGGCTATAACAATAATCAGGATTCCTGACAGTCCAACCAGAGATAACAGGTTGAATTTCCCTAACTACGGAACTCTACCATCCTGACAATGGAATCTAGCAGCTCAAGAAAGGATCCTGCCCACCACCAGAAGAAATGGTGCAGCAACAGGACCCACTTGACTTAAACCTGTGGCCCAGTGCCTTCAGTATATTGTAGAAGATTATGGATGCCAGTAGCTACTCTATTTCCCTAGCTCTGAGATAATGGTTTCTGCCAAACTGAAATTTGGGAGGACACATTTTGAGGTGAACCAACTAGCTTTTGTTGGAGTAAGCTAGATCTATCATCTCATCCATATCAAACTGTGGACAAGAACAGATTATTTGTTACAGATAGACTTGACATTAAGAAGCAATAGTCAAAAGGGCTTCCAAAAATCTGGCTATGAAGGTTTCCACACTGAAGTAAAATGTCCATAGATGGAGACCCTTTCCCAATAGGCAGGTAGCTGCCTGTTGTCTATCTTTTTCTGATTCAGCAGTACCTAAATTTTTGTATCTTTTAATAACTATTAAAATGTGTAAACTATGTGTGTTCACACACATGTACATACATACATATAATACCACTGTTACAACTGTGACATTAAAAAAAGTAGTCAGTTAATGTTTCTGGGGTGAGTATAAACATGATATTTCATCAGTGTAGGGTTTTTAATTGATATGAATGATTTTTAGAGGAAATATCAAAAAATAATTTACAATTTTATACATAATCGACTTCAGAATTAGGTATTGTTTTCTGCCATAGTTAGATAGATAGATAGAGTTATACAGAGACAGACAGACAGACAAACAGACAGACAGACAGACAGACAGACAGACAGACAGACAGACAAGACAAGACAGGACTGGGCTAATGTTTTGTGCATTTAAATGAAAAGTGTGTTTGAATGAACCATTTATCTGAAATGGTTTCCTGCCTTAGAAGGAGATTGGAGTAGAAGACCTAAAGGTCCCTTCCAACTCTATTATTCTGTTATTCTGATCATGAAACAAGGAGATTCAATTCAGTATGGTTGAAGGTTTATATGTTTCATGCAGCAGAAGTTATTTATTAAAGAAAGCATTTGAATAAACCAACTTCTTAGTTCTATGCTATCAATTAGTTTTGATTGGTTTCTCATAGATTTTATACCGATCTGACTTGAACTTTATGAGAGGAGTTGGCTGTATCATACCGGGGCCTTGGAGATTGAAGCAAGAAGAAAGCTTCTGACTCATCAGTGAGGTAACAAAAGATGTTTTTGATTTCTTCAGCTACAAACAAGGTTTTGCCGATGTCTGTGTAAAACTGACAAAGAGGCTTCCTGATTAAGGGTGGGCTCTCATTCCCACCCTTCTTCTTTTATTTGATCATTCAATTTATAACTGGATGAACTGAACGGAGTTCAAGGTTTTCCAGACCTTGATAACTACTTTCAGAAACTTTCTGTTCTGTAATCAGGACCCAAGTGATTGGTACATTAGGGTGATCCTTTGTAGAAGGAAATGCTCCTTTCCAGATGAAATGGAAGTCTGTGTTTTTATATTAGACATAGAATCACATTTTTCAAAACCCAAGTGACTCGATATAAGTGGCCTGGAAAGTGAATTACTCTTCCTCATTACTATGCACTCTCTTCCTCGTCCTCTCTCTCTCCTGCTCTCTCTCTCTCTTTTCTCACTCTTAAGTTTTTCTCCAGAGCAAAAGAATGGGTCAATAATAAGGCAAAATAAAGACCAAATTGATATAATGGCAGAAACCACATTTTAAAAATGTGCATGTCATTTCCTTTCATGTATAAACATGGTGTAAATGTTTTTCGTCAAAAGATCTAGAGGTGAAGACAACTGAATCCTCCCCCTGCTTGTCCTCTTCTTGCTCATAGTTCCCAATCTCTTTTAATATCCCATCTGAAGAAGCCTCTTGGATTAAAAAGGCCTTTAAAAAGGCAGACAAGGTAGGGAGAGTGAGGTGTTTGGCTTTCATCCTTTGGGGGCATGTCCTATTCCATATGTGTTCTAATATATGACTAAACAGACCCAACCAGCCGGCCTATTTATCCTTTGGAAGCCCTTTAGACTTATGTGAATGTAGAACCTCTCTACTATTGATAAAAGAGATCCAACTTTTTCTAGCTGTAATGTAAGTGTTTTATTTCTGTCAGGAATTTTAGTAAAAGATATTAGATCTGAACGGATTCAGTTCAAAGCTTCTAAGTGAAGAGATTATCTAATCAAATCTACTTTGAGTTGAATCAATCATTTGAGGCTCTACAGAACACACCAAACTGATGAGTGGACCAAACCAACTAAGCAATAAACTGGTGTGTAAAATTTCCAGTCTAAAGATCACTGAAATGATTGCTTAACCAAGGAAAAGTCACAATAATATTTAATGTGGAATATTATTTCTACTTCACTTAAGACTAGTTCTGGAACTTTTAATAATTTTGTTTTTTTAAAAAATACTGAAGTGTATTAAATATCTGGTTGTTTATCATTTCCACCAAAATGCTAAGATATAGTTCAAAAGAAGCAAAGCAAACAACTACTGTAATCCTTGTTTATTTTTTAGGGAGTCTCTTGATTTTACTATACAGGTCCGGTTAATGATATGGAGGCAAGAGATTGAAATGATATATTGTACAGGTCAATATATTGCTGCATGTAACATATTCTGTGTAAAGTACTAGCCAAATCTGTTATGCATTGAAAAATATAATGTCCTTATCTTGCCATTTCTCCTTTTGTCTGCCTCTCACTGTGTGAATTCAGAGTAAATACCGTCAGCAAGCAAATTCTTCAAGTACACATCAGTGACAGACTCTCCTGGCCTCCTTCATGCAAATTCAGCAATTATGATTGCTAATGAGGTAGGTTCTGCTAAACATGGATCAGAAAATGCGCTTCTTTTAAAATGCAATATGTGGGGAGGGAGGAAAGGCAGCATGCTCTGAGAAGTGTAATATACTAAAAAAAGAAAGGGGGTGGGGTGGGGAGAGAGCAAAGCACCATCAATTTATCCTTTAACAAAGTGAGATCATTTTTATTATTCCTAGAAATAAGCTTTTAATTTCTCTTTGATATTAAAAGCTTTTCTAGGAATAATAAAAAATGATCTCACAATGTTTAAAGGATAAATGATGGGTGCTTTGCTCTCTTCCCCCACCCACCCCCTTTCTTTTTTTTAGTATATTACACTTCTCAGAGCATGTGCTTTCCTCCTCCCCACATATTGCATTTTAAAGAGCGCATTTTCTGATCCATGTTAGCAGGAACTACCTCATTAGCAATCATATTGCTGAATTTTGCTGAAGGAGGCCAGGAGAGTCTGTCATGATGTGTACTTGAAGGAATTTGCTTGCTGACGGTATTTACTCTGATTCACACAGTGAGAGGCAGACAAAAGGAGAAATGCAAGATAAGGACATTATATTTTCAATGCTACAGATTTGGCTAGTACTTTACACAGAATATGTTACATGCAGCAATATATTGACCTGTACAATATATCATTTCAATCTCTTGCCTCCATATCATTAACCGGACCTGTATAGTAAAAATCAAGAGACTCCCTAAAATTAAACAAGGATTACAGTAGTTGTTGGCTTTGCTTCTTTTGAACTATATCTTAGCATTTTGGTGGGAAATGATAAACAACCAGATATTTAATACACTTCAGTATTTTTTAAAAAAACAAAATTATAAAAGTTCCAGAACTAGTCTTAAGTGAAGTAGAAATAATTATTCCACATTAAATATTATTGTGACTTTTCCTTGGTTAAGCAATCATTTCAGTGATCTTTAGATGGAAATTTTACAACCCAGTTTTTGGCTTAGTTGGTTTGGTCCACTCATCAGTTTGTTGTGGTGCTGTAGAGCCTCAAATGTTTGATTCAACTCAAAGTAGATTTGATTAGATAATCTCTTCACTTAGAAGCTTTGAACTGAATCCGTTCAGATCTAATATCTTTTACTAAAATTCCTGACAGAAATAAAACACTTACATTTACAGCTAGAAAAAGTTGGATCTCTTTTATCAATAGTAGAGAGGTTCTACATTCACATAAGTCTAAAGGGCTTCCAAAGGATAAATAGGCCGGCTGGTTGGGTCTGTTTAGTCATATATTAGAACACATATGGAATAGGACATGCCCCCAAAGGATGAAAGCCAAACACCTCACTCTCCCTACCTTTTCTGCCTTTTTAAAGGCCTTTTTAATCCAGAGAGGCTTCTTCAGATGGGATATTAAAAAGAGATTGGGAACTATGAGCAAGAAGAGGACAAGCAGGGGGAGGATTCAGTTGTCTTCACCTCTAGGATCTTTTGACGAAAAACATTTACACCATGTTTATACATGAAAGGAAATGACATGCACATTTTTAAAATGTGGTTTCTGCCATTATATCTATTTTGGTCTTTATTTTGCCTTATTATTGACCCATTCTTTTGCTCTGGAGAAAAACTTAGAGTGAGATAGAGAGAGAGAGAGCAGGAGAGAGAGAGGACGAGGGAGAGAGTGCATAGTAATGAGGAAGAGTAATTCTCTTTCCAGGCCACTTATATCGAGCACTTGGGTTTTGAAAAATGTGATTCTATGTCTAATATAAAAACACAGACTTCCTTTCATCTGGAAAGGAGCATTTCCTTCTACAAAGGATCACCCTAATGTACCAATCACTTGGGTCCTGATTACAGAACAGAATGTTTCTGAAAGTAGTTATCAAGGTCTGGAAAACCTTGAACTCCGTTCAGTTCATCCAGGATATAAATTGAATGATCAAATAAAGAAGAAGGGTGGGAATGAGAGCCCACCCTTAATCAGGAAGCCTCTTTGTCAGTTTTACACAGACATCTGGCAAAACCTTGTTTGTAGCTGAAGAAATCAAAAACATCTTTTGTTACCTCACTGATGAGTTCAGAAGCTTTCTTCTTTGCTTCAATCTCCAAGGCCCCGGGTATGATACAGCCAACTCCTCTCATAAAGTTCAAGTCAGATCGGTATAAATTCTATGAGAAACCAATCAAAACTAATTGATAGCATAGAACTAAGAAGTGGTTATTCAAAGCTTTCTTTATAAATAACTTCTGCTGCATGGAAACATATATAACCTTCAACCATACTGGAATTGAATCTCCTTGTTTCATGATCAGAATAACAGAATAATAGAGTTGGAAGGGACCTTGTAGGTCTTCTACTCCAATCTCCTTCTAAGGCAGGAAACCATTTCAGATAAATGGTTCATTCAAACACACTTTCATTTAAATGCACAAAACATTAGCCCAGTCTTGTCTTGTCTTGTCTGTCTGTCTGTCTGTCTGTCTGTCTGTCTGTCTGTCTGTTTGTCTGTCTGTCTGTCTCTGTATAACTCTATCTATCTATCTAACTATTGGCAGAAAACAATACCTAATTCTGAAGTCGATTATGTATAAAATTGTAAATTATTTTTGATATTTCCTCTAAAAATCATTCATATCAATTAAAAACCCTACACTGATGAAATGATCATGTTTATACTCACCCCAGAAACATTAACTGACTACTTTTTTAATGTCACAGTTTGTAACAGTGGTATTATATGTATGTATGTACATGTGTGTGAACACACATAGTTTACACATTTTAATAGTTATTAAAAGATACAAAAATTTAGGTACTGCTGAATCAGAAAAAGATAGACAACAGGCAGCCTACCTGCCTATTGGGAAAGGGTCTCCATCTATGGACATTTTACTTCAGTGTGGAAACCTTCATAGCCAGATTTTTGGAAGCCCTTTTGACTATTGCTTCTTAATGTCAAGTCTATCTGTAACAAATAATCTGTTCTTGTCCACAGTTTGATATGGATGAGATGATAGATCTAGCTTACTCCAACAAAAGCTAGTTGTTCACCTCAAAATGTGTCCTCCCAAATTTCAGTTTGGCAGAAACCATTATCTCAGAGCTAGGGAAATAGAGTAGCTACTGGCATCCATAATCTTCTACAATATACTGAAGGCACTGGGCCACAGGGTTAAGTCAAGTGGGTCCTGTTGCTGCACCATTTCTTCTGGTGGTGGGCAGGATCCTTTCTTGAGCTGCTAGATTCCATTGTCAGGATGGTAGAGTTCCGTAGTTAGGGAAATTCAACCTGTTATCTCTGGTTGGACTGTCAGGAATCCTGATTATTGTTATAGCCCAAATTTTCATGGGAGATAGCATGTTTACCACAACACAGTCTGATTAATATATGTCCTTTGTCGTGGTAAAATAGCTCTGATTTCTATTGCACAGTGTCAATGTCATCAACAAGGAGAATGGACTATTGCTGAAATTTGTGGAATCCAAGTCATTTCCAGAGGGTATTAGGGGAGATTCCTAAATAAGTCCACTGAGATTTAATTGTTAGCTTGAATGTGAGGACAACAGTGGCTTTGTGATGAAATTGCATCTGAGCAAGCAGAGCTCCTTGGACTACTGAGGAGTTCAAGAAATTGCTGTGTTATTTTAAGAACTGAATATAACTATTCAAGAGACCTATTGAATTTAAGCAGCATATAAATCTAGTACATACAATACATAAATATATTAGAAAATATATTCTTAAAACCCAGTCTTTAAATTTTCATAGGAGCAGAATGGGGAGGTCTATTTATACCAGAATCCTCAATCTTTCTGGCTTTGCAGATCAGCTGGGGGAAAGAGCGGATGTTTCCGTGCAAGCACATGTATGGGCACAGCTCCATTTGCACTAGCAATGTGCATATGCACCAACTGCTCACCAAATGGAGAGCGTATGCACGCACTTGCCTACTGCTTGCGCAAGTGGGGATGCATGTACACTTGCACACCATTTTCCGTGGTCCAGTGGTAAATAGCTCATGGCCACTATTGAGCCATCGCCCAAAGTTTGGGGACTCCTGATTTATACTGATTAAGGGAGGAAAATAAATGATTATAAAACTATAATTTATTATTATAAAAGTATACTTTAAATGGCTCAGCCCACTTTGATTTGAATCTGACCTTGCCCAATTTTCAAATGTGATTTTCGCTCTAAAGATGGATCTGTCTCTCTGTCTAACAGAAAATGTTCACCCCTCAATTAAACATGGTATGCAGAACCATAATTTACCTCACTCTGTAGTTTGTAAGCTTTTTTAGCACACTGCAGCCTCATATCCTCCGACAGCGATGTATAATCATGAAGCAGTTGTCTATATTCCTGATCACTGATCAAAGACTGGGCTTTTCTGGCATGTACTAAATTCACCATGTCTAATGGTAGGTAGAACTTATTCTTCTGATTATCAAAATCTTTCCTGTAATTTATCTAAGAAGGAAGTAAAAACAAATGCTATTTTTCAGTCATGACTTAAAAGACATTCATAGAAAGTCATTTGACAAATTCTTTTGAAACTATTCCTTTACAATTATTATTATTATTATTAATTAGGAAACAGGCAAATTATAATATAATCACAGGAAACAACTGGTCACTGGGATGTACTGTTATTATTTGCTCCTCAACAAGCTAGGCATGCATTATGTGCACATTACTGAATCCTGTTCCTAAGTATATGAGTATTGCCTTAGAAGTCTTTCTAGTACTTTCAAAACTGTTCTTCAATGAAAATGCCTGTATTATATTTGTGAGCAAAATCAACACTAGCCAGAGCATAAAAAACTGAAAGCAGTATAAAATCAGAAATATGGAAAGAGCTGGTCCATAGAATCACCAAAAATATGTTATGATTGAATGAATATCAGCAGCAGCAGCAGCAGCATCCTGCTAGAAAGTTAAAAGCATCTTTTGCTCTTTCATTTTTCTCCTAACATCTTCTTTTGACATTGTTCTGAATGTATCTTCCCTTCCATTCCCATACTTAATATTGGTGTGTTATTATTTTTTGCTCATTTTGTTGGATCTGTGTTCCTTTCATTGTATCCTTACAGAAACAAGATCTTATGATGCAGCGGCGTCCAACCTTTTGGGCACCAGGGACCTGTTCTGTGGAGACAGGTTTTTTCCATGGACCGGAGATGGTGTGGTTTCATGTTTTGCCTGCATCCCACAGATGAGGCTTAGCTTGTTTGCACGGCCTGATTTCTGGCATGCTGCAGACCGGTGCTGGTCTACGGACTGGGGGTTGGGGACCTCTGTTATAATGCCCAATAACTCAGATAGCTTAAGAACTTATTTAGGGAAGACAAGTCTATCACTGATTTAAACAATGATGGTGACATGGATTTTCTGGAGACATCTTTATTTTATTTATTTATTTATTATTTAAATTTTTATTACCGTCCTTCTTCCGATGGACTCAGGGCGGTGCAAAGCCACAATAAAACACATATATCCATAAAGTTTAAAAACAGTTTTAAACATATTAAATAATTTGGCCCTTATATTAAAAAACTAAAGCACCCATTAAAATTCGTTATTTAAGCCAGCCCAGCCTGTTGAAACAGTAAAGTCTTAAGGGCATGGCGAAAGGTATGTAGGTCAGGGATCATATGTATCTCCGGGGGCAATTCATTCAAGAGGGCAGGTGCCCCCACAGAGAATGTTTTCCCCCTGGGGGTCGCCAGTTGACATTGTTTGACCAACGGCACCCTGAGGAGTCCCTCTCTGTGAGAGCGTATTAGCCAGTGGGAGGCTATCGGTGGCAGAAGGCGATCTCGTAAGTACCAGGTCCTAAGCCATGGAGCACTTTAAAGATAGTAACCATCTTGGCCATGACTCTAGGTACTGAAAAAAGATGGCAAAAGGAGTTATGGTATTGATGTCTTATCCATGCATTCTGTTTTTTCTTTTGTTTTGATAGGCATCTGCTTGGTTGATGAAATAAGGATGCTGGATTAGATAATTAGATTAGATTAGACCAGACTAGATTAGATTAGATAATTCTGTCAAGGATCTTATATTCTTATGCCAATAGAGGTGAAAGTATCATCCACTTATATTGTTTTGAATGTGCTGCTCTTAACCAATTAAATATTTGCTTATTAAAAATATGGTGATGATACAAGTTTATTTAGTGTACCACTTACATCACTTTGTAGCAAAGCTGCATGCATGAAGTGAGAAATGTTTATATCTTCCAAGCCATGGGAACCAATCAACTGCCCCCTCATTTTCTCAAAGGCCTCCTTATACTTATACTGAGGAAGAAAAAGAAAAGATCAACATAGCAAAAACATGAAAAGTGAAATAAAAGTATCCATTACTGCATTGCTTTTTGTTTTCTTTCAGATAGTGAAGACTTTACGTAAAGCCATATGTATCAAATGGCCATATTCAGGCGAAACCAAATCTAGTTTACAAGAAAGGGAATGTGAATTTAGAAATTCAAATTACATTTATTAACATGTACTTTATTTAAGCAACAGCTGGTTTTTAATTGTTATGAGTAGTACTAAAGTGGTACTAAAGTGGTACTAAAAACACACAGTATTATATTTATTCACATAATCCTTGAAAATATAGATACATGTTATCCCATTACAATAGATCATCACACCTGCTCATTTGTTTTATTTTGTTGAAGTCCATATAATGGCCTAAGATGAGTTGCAATATTACTGAGGATGAGCTTAACATCTCTGAGTTAAACTTTGATATACTTGGAGAAAAGATTTAAGAATTACTCTAAATAATAATAAGCCAGTAAACCATTTTAAGGAGTAGATGAATACTTTAACCTAAAAACCACACTAGAATATATTCATCTGTTATCCGAATTTCCTAATTCTAAGTAAAGAGCTTTATAATAATAATGTAACAGCAATTGTACTTTTGGAGACTACAACTGAAAGTTTAATAGGTAAGTATACTTCTAGATAACAAATTCAAGGTTCTGTGTTAATAATTGGGACTAGCTTTGATTCTGAGCCATTGCTACTGAATTAAATTCCATAAATAAATAAAATAAAGGACATCATGTTTCAGTATCAATTTCAAGTCCATCTTATCGCATACAATACAAAACCCCAACGATGCCCTTGAAGTGATGTCCCAGTGCCTGGAGGCCGTACGGATCTGGATGGGGAGAAACGGGCTCAGGCTTAACCCATCCAAGACCGAGTGGCTGTGGTTTCCGACGTCCCGATATAGTCAGCTGGCGCCATCGCTGGCTATTGGGGGCGAATCATTGGCCCCCACGGAAAGGGTTCGTAACTTGGGCGTCCTCCTGGATTCACGGCTGTCTTTAGAAGAGCACTTGACGGCCGTGACCGGGAGGATTTTTCATCAGGTTCGCCTGATTCACCAGTTACGTCCCTTTCTAGATCGGGACTCGTTACGCACAGTCACTCATGCCCTCGTCACCTCTCGTCTGGACTATTGTAATGCTCTCTACATGGGGCTCCCCTTGAGGTGCACCCGGAGGCTCCAACTGGCGCAGAGTGCGGTCCGCGCGGGTGGTTATGGGAGCAACATGGAGCTCCCATGTAACACCTCTCCTGCGCGAGCTGCACTGGCTCCCGGTGGTCTTCCGGGTGCGCTTCAAGGTTCTGGTTACCACCTTTAAAGCGCTCCATGGCTTAGGACCTGGTTATCTACGGGACCGCCTACTACCACCAACAGCCTCCCACCGACCAGTACGCTCCCACAGAGAAGGGCTCCTCCAGGTGCCGTCGGCCAAACAATGTCGGCTGTCGGCCCTAGGGGGGAGAGCCTTCTCTGTGGGGGCACCGACGATCTGGAATGAGCTCCCCCAGAGATACGGAGGATCCCGGATCTGCGCACCTTCCGCTGCGAGTTGAAGACGCTTTTATTTCATCAAGCGGGCCCCGCCTAAATCTTCTCCCTTTTAAGTGTAAATTTTAAATTTTTAATGTATTTTAAAATTATGGGTATTTTAAATTATGGGTATTAATTCAGCCAAATTTATTTAATTCATTTTATTTGATTTTAAATTTTCTATATCTATGTGTTTTATTTCATGGCTGTACACCGCCCTGAGTCCTTCGGGAGTAGGGCGGTATAGAAATTCAATAAATAATAATAATAATAACAATACAGACAAAATAAGAGGCAATTTTATATACCGTTTGATTCTTTTTCCCAATTTGCACTTAAGAATTTTATTGGGAGTAGGAGAGAATATTCCTCTTTGTTCATGAACACTGACTTTGACATTCAAATTCCAAGAGGACTTTTAACATTAAATAAACCCTTTTTTAAAAATAGTGATCATTAAAATTATCTTCCCTTCTTTGTTCCAGTTTGCCAATATAAATTTTATAATACAGTTATCAAATACAATGTTTAAAGCTACATTAGGATCCATTTATCTAATTCTACCTAGCAGAGTAATATTTTAATTCACACATAAAATTTGTGGAAATAATTTGAAATTCTTTACTCTCCAAAAGTATTTGCTTTCTTCCGTTGTCCTTTTCCAGTGTCTAAACAAAATGCCCTTACAATTATTTCTTTGCCATTGTTACTAAATCAACTTACATCACTTATAATTTCATTAGAAGTCTTTGCTGTCTGGAAAGGAATGGCATCCAGTTTTAATTTATAACCACCATGTTGCATTTTATTCCAGGATTCTTTGTAGTGAGTCTGTTTGGAAATAAAAAGTAAGACCAACATCCATTTAGTGACACTCAAAGCATGTTCTTCCCTACAAAGAACAAGCAACTATACTTAGAATGTATAGCCCAAACGTATATAAATTAACTTGTTTCTAACAAAATAGGGCTTCTCTACTTAGGTCAGGATTGTACATTGTTAGTGTTATAGTTTATATGTGATGCTGTGTTGACTTCAGACAAATCTTGAAATCTGCTTCAGTTGGTAATGGATATCAGAATGACCTTGGGAACAGGAGGACGAAGAGAGGACAATAGCCTAGACCAGGGGTGGGCAACTGTGACCCTTTTACAACCTGTGGACTTCAAACACCCAAGCTGGCTCAGGAATCCTGGGAGTTGAAGCCCACAGCTCATAAAGGGGCCATATTTGCCCACCCCTGGCCCAGACAACAGTCAAAGAAGAGCTATCTAAACCAAAAAGAAATGAGAGTGGAGGAAATATTTCAGAAGGGACTCTCATAGTTCTCTGGAAAGTAAATGTAATTGAGGGGAGAGGGGAGATTTTATTACTGTAATCTTACGACAAAGCTAATACTAGTATTCATAGTTTTGATTTTTGGGCGGGGGGGGGCTTGGACAATAGAATAGCAATAGCACTTAGCTGTATATATCACTTCATAGTACTTTACAGCCCTCTATACAGAGTCAACATATTGCCACCAATAATCTGGATCCTTATTTTATCGACCTCGGAAGGATGGAAGGCTGAGTCAACCTTGAGCCCTGTCAAAATCAAACTCCTGGCAGTGGCCAGAGTTGGCCTGCAGTACTGCATTCTAACCACTGCACCACCATGGCTCTTCTTGAACAGCTGACAGTTAGACCCATTGATTCAAATTAGAACTATGATTAATTTGAAAAGGTTAATCTAGATTCAATCCAATGTGTCTGAAATGGTCATTTTATTAACATGTCTAGGGGCAGCAAAACTATTTTGCCTAATCTCCACTAATTTTTACCTTAGTATTGGCAATAGCAATAGCACTTAGACTTATATCCCGCTTCACAGTGCTTTCCAGCCCTTTCTAAGCAGTTTACAATAGCTTCTCTTTTATCTTAATTTGCAGTTATCATAAAAGGTGTCAGTAATAATAGCACTAGCAAGAAGAAATCATCATTAATTAAAATGCCCCAGATGTAACATACTGCATTCTGGAGAATAAATTGCATCCAAGCATTATAGAAAATTACATTGGGGCGGGGACTTCCGGTTTCCTTGTCTTCGGCGACGGCGGCGCTCTTTGAAGCTCCGCCAGCCCCGCCGCCTGTAGAGCCGCTTCGCGATCGAGAAGCGGCTCGAAAACTTCAAAATCCTGAGGATTATTGGAGGAGAGATAGCAGGGCACAGGTCGAGCCCCTGTAACCCCCCAGGGAATTGTTTCTGGGGAGGAAACAGGCGCGGCTCCCTTCCAACCTGCTGAGACTCCGGGCGGCGTGGGACGATTCTGCTTCTGCAGAACAAGCCGGCTGCAGGAAACTTAAAGCGAAAGAACCAGCTTTAATAAACAGCGAAACTACCTGAATCCTGAAATTTGGAAACGCAAGTATTAGCACTTTGTTGACTTTTCAATCTGAGAAAATGCGAGTGAGTGAAAGTGCTTTGAAAAAACATGGCGCCTAGCTTCAGAGTTAACGAGCCAGCGAGTGTGGATTGGTGAAGTTACTTTGTTTTGCTACAAAGTTTCCAAGTTGCTACTAAGCTGCCTTGCTTGTTACAAGAGAAATAACTCGGAAATTTTTTCCCTTTTCAATATTGGACTTTGCTTTATTTAACCCTTGTTTGATCAAATCTGGGGGACTTTTTTAGAAGTCTTTGTGCAGGAGGGAAAGGAAAAGGAACCTCCCTCTTTAGAAAACTAGATCACGAGCCAGGATGGCTTCAAAGAAGCAGGAAGGGAAGGCATTAGGGGGGGGATCCCCCACACACAAACAGCAAACGCAACTTCCCCTGCTCAACAGTTACAAACTCAGAAAAAAGAATTTGATGTGGCAGATTTAAAAAGATTTATTTCTAAAACTTTGGATGATAAATTTCAAGAATCACAACAGGAACTTCAAAAATCACATCAGGAATTTTTGCAGGAAATTAATGAAATTAAAGACATGGTGAAACAGAATCAAATTATGGTGACCAAAAAAATATCAGAAGTGGCGTCTGGCCTGGCAGATTTTATTGGGAAAGTTGATTTTAAAGTTGAAGAATTTAAATCAGAAGTTAATGTTAGGATGAAAGACAATGATTATAAAATTGATGAAGTTGACAATAAAATGCAGAGAATTGAAGATGAGATTGTTATGATACAATTCCGGGCGATGGAATTTGCCATACGGCTTCGGGGAATTCGAGAGGAGGAAAGACAGGACTTGAGACAAGTTTGCTCTGAAGCCCTGGCTAAGATTCTACAAGTTAATCCTGATTTGGTATTTCATAAAATAGATAAAATTTACAGAGTGAACTCTTGGGTGGCCAGGCAAAGACAATTACCCAGAGATGTGGTCATATACTTTACTGAGAGAGAAATTAGAAATGATATCCTGCAAAAATCTTTCCACACCTCTATACAAGTGGGGGGCTCACGGCTTGTAATTTTTAAAGAGTTACCTCCTAAAATGCTGAAAGCTAGAAAAGAATTTGGTTTTCTTGTTAAGGAATTGAAAAATTTACAGATACCCTTCCGGTGGGATGCACCAGCTGGGGTAATTTTCAGATATAAGGGAGAAGGATATCGGTTGAATACCGTGGAGAAGGCGCAACACTTTTACAGTACTATTCTTATGGAAAGAACACCATCTCCACGTACATCTACAGTTCTGGAGATTAAGGAGAGTGAAGAGAGGCAATTGAAAGAACAGTCTAAGCAGGAATTAGAAAACGTGCAAGGTGCAGAAGGAGGTATTCTGAGTGAGCCATCGCTGGATTCTTCTCCAATTTTGGATTTGATTCAGTTGACTGAAGTTAAAGATCAACGTATAACTAGAGCTCAATCCAAGCTACTTAAACAGAGCAACAACAACAACAGGAAAGACAAGACAAGAAGGCAGTTAAGAGCACTGCACAAGAGATTGGCGCTATGGGAGGAGCGAGATCGAAGCTTGTGGATGAACTTCAAGCATATTGCTCCGCGCTCCATGAAGAGGTTAATGACCTTTAAGTGTTTATCTTGGAATGTCAATGGGTTGAATTCAGCACAGAAAAGGAAAAAAATTATTACATATTTGAAACAATTTAATAATGATATAATATGTTTACAAGAAACGCACATTACAACTCAAGATCAAAAATATTTGATAAACTCAAAACTAGGAGCACATTATATATCTTCAACTTCGCAGAAAAAGAATGGTGTGGTTATTTATGTAAATAAAAAATTAACAGCAAAAGTTATAGAAGTAGATCAAGATGGTAGATTTGTAGCAATTGAATTGTTTACAGCAAATGGACAAATTCTTTTGATTGGAATTTATGCTCCCAACCAACAACAGGATTATTTTTACAAGATGTTACATACTAAAATATTGCAATGGGACTACAGATCTATTTTAATTATGGGAGATTGGAATGGAGTAATTGATTCTAAATTAGATAAAAAGAGCTTGGCAAAGTCTAGAATTAGATTACCACAGACCTTTTTTGATATGAAAGAAGATATGGAACTAAAAGATGTTTGGAGAATACATAACCCAAATGAATTGGATTACACTTTTTTTTCTGATAGACATAGATCTTTTTCTAGGATTGATTTTATCTTGTTGTCAAATGATCTACTTGTTAAGACAAAAAGAACAAAGATTTTTCCAAGAATTTTGACTGATCATAGTCCTGTATGGATAGAAATCGAGATGGATAAGGTTGAGAGACGTTCTTGGAGATTAAATGAGAACCTGTTTAGATATGAAAAAAAATATAATAGAACTTAAAAAGCATTTGAAAGAATTTTTTGAAATAAATTTGAATAAAGGTACCCCAGTTGAAATTGTTTGGGATGCAAGTAAAGCTTATATGAGAGGGGTACTTATCTACATGAATTCTAAACATAGACTGTTCCGACAAAAGAAAAGATCTGAGTTGAAATGGAAATAAAGAATAAAGAACAGTTACTTATTAAAAACCCAACAGATGAAAGAATACGAAGTGCTATAAAACTTTTGAAAGATCAATTCCAAATGCTTATGGCGGAACAAGTTGCAACAAGTTTACAATACGCGAAGCATAATACATTTTGCAATGCTAATAAACCGGGCAGATGGTTGGCTTACACATTGAGGAAAAAACAAAGTATACGGACTATTGATAGTATTGATATTGGAGGGAAAGAAATCTTTCAACAAAAACTAATTAAAGAAGCTTTTGTGGATTATTACACTAAACTATATGCCAAAGATGAGGTGCAGAATGGACTTATAGAAAAATATTTAAAGGATAAGAGAGTTACAAAAATTACTGATCAACAAAAGGAAAGAATGAATTATCCTATAACAGAGGAGGAGATAACAGCAGCAATTAAACAGCTAAAAACAGCCAAAGCTCCTGGCACGGATGGTTTGACTGCAGTGTACTATAAAACTTTACAAGCTGAAATGGTGGGACAACTTAGAGATTTATTTTGCAATATTCAACAAGGGGGTAAAATACCCCCATCCTGGACAACTGCTTATATATCTTTGATACCAAAAGAACAAGTTGGTCCTAAAAAACCAGAGAACTACAGACCAATATCTCTTTTGAATACAGACTATAAAATTTACGCGAAGGTATTAGCCAACAGGTTGATGCCAGTAATCCAAAAGGTGATTCATGAGGACCAAGCGGGATTTATTGAGGGTAGATACATGAAGGACAATGTAAGGCAAGTAAATAGACTTATTGGAATATCTTGATAAGATAAAACAGATTTCTGCAGTGCTGGTCTTTTTGGATGCGGAGAAGGCCTTTGATAGAGTGGATTGGAATTTTCTACTAAAGACTTTAAAAAAGATGGGCTTTGGGGACAGTTTACACAGGCAATTTCAGCAATTTATCAAGAGCAAAAAGCACAGATTATTATTAATGGAAGTTTGACGACAGAGTTTAAAATTGAAAAAGGAACAAGACAGGGATGTCCGTTGTCCCCACTTTTATTTATTTTAACATTGGAAGTCTTGCTAAATACAATACGGGACTCAAAAATTTTGAAAGGCATAATGATAAGGCAAGAGGATTATAGAGTAAAGGCATTTGCAGATGATCTGGTGGTTACCCTATCACAACCAATGGAATCAATAATCTTGATGAACGACATTATACAAGACTATGGTAGAGTTTCAGGTTTCAGAGTGAACTCAAAAAAGACTAAAATGATAGTCAAAAATATGACACAAGATCGTAAATATGAGTTTGAAAGGAGGGCAGGTTTTGAAATTGTACCTAAGGTAAAATATCTTGGAGTTCAGGTTGCAGAATCAAACATGAAATTGTTTCAAAATAACTATGAGGTGTTGTGGCGAGAGGCTCAGAAAGACATGGAGACTTGGAAAAAGCTGCAACTGTCTTTACTTGGAAGAATAGCAGCAGTTAAGATGAACATTTTGCCAAGATTTCTGTTTTTGTTTCAAATGATTCCGGTGCTTAAAAGTGATAAACAACTGAAAGTTTGGCAAACTGGACTTAATAAGTTTGTCTGGAACGAGAAAAAGCCGAGAGTGAAATTGAAAATTATGCAAGATGTTCCAGAAAGAGGAGGCCTTAAACTTCCAAACCTACAGTTATATTATGATGCAGCAGCTTTAACTTTAACAAGTGATTGGTTTGGAAGTAAAAAGGCTGGAATATTGAATGCAGAAAGTTTTGATCTTGAATTTGGATGGCATGCTTACCTATTTTATGATGACAAAGTTGATAAAGTATTTAAAAGTCATATACTTAGAGACTCTTTGATGAGAGTTTGGAAGAAGCACCGACTCAAATGGGATTTAAAATACCGCTATGGCTGGATCTTGGTCATACCTTGTGGAATACAAATATAATGTCACTCGGGGGGTTTTTATACAAAGAGGTTCTTTTTACAGATGCGGGCAGATGGCAGTTGAAGACATTGCAGACACTGTTGGACGAAGGGATTAATTTAACCTGGTTACAATATAATCAATTACAACTGAGATGGAAAGAGGACCAAAAAACTGGTATTATGTTGCATGAGGAAGAATTGGTTAGACATATAAGAGAGAAAGGTCCAATGCATATTAAAAGGCTTTACAATGTTTTGCTAGAAAGGGATTCAGAAACGGAATTAGTTAAAGATTGTATGATTAAGTGGGCACAAAATTTTGAAGAACCAGTGATGTTGGAAACATGGGAAAAAAATTTGGGTTCAGAATGTTAATTTACACAGTCGCAGAATTTGAGGGAAAATTTTATAAAATGTTTTATAGATGGCATCTAGATCCTAAAAAGTTGTCATGTATGTACCCTAATGTTCAGCCAAAATGTTGGAGATGTGAATGTTTGGATGCTACGTATTATCATGTTTGGTGGACCTGTAGGAAAGTTAAGGCTTTTTGGATAAAATATGGTGGGTCATGCAGAATGTTTTGAAGAAAAAAATTCAATTTTCTCCACAATTGTTTTTATTGGGCATAGTTAAGGGTTTTACACGGGATGAAACAAAATTAATATTGTATATGATAACAGCAGCAAGATTGTTGATAGGTAAATATTGGAAGAATGAAGCTTTGCCTACTATCGAGGAATGGACTTCGAAGATGGCCAGTTTTGCAGAGATGGCGAAGATTTCAGCATATTTAAAAGATTGTTCACAAGAGACTTATGAATGGGAATGGAAAAGGTGGATAGAATATGTTCAGAACAAATACCAAATTAGAAAGTATATCAAATAGCTTTTATTTGAAAACAATGTATTAGAAATATTTTAATATAAAGAGACAAAGAGGGAAAATTATGTAGGGGGAGGGATGGGTTCAGGTATATATATCAGTGTTATTAGTTATGAGTACATAATAGGGAAGTCTGGGGGGGGAGGGTTAGGGAGGGTTAGGGAGGACGGGAAGTTTGGGGAGGGAGGTGGGGGGGTGAAAAAAAGGGGTGGAAATGTAATTGTAAAACTTTTGCAATAAAAAAAAAAGAAAAATTACATGGGGCCATTTTTGTTGCAATGCAAACTGTTCTGAGGCATTTTGATAAAAGCAATGGTGGCTACCCTCAAGATAGAGGATGATAATGTGTGAACTATAAAAGTAACTACAATTGAATGATTCCTTGCTACTACATAATGTTACTACCCCACAAATAACTTGGTTGCAAATTTTGCAACTTTACCCTTTGATTTAAGGAGATTATGGATTAATTGTCACAATTGAGTACTTGTTCATAAGATACCAAAATTCATCTCAATCTTGGCTCTTCTGTGGCATCTTGGAATCTTCTTTTCAGAAAACCACACAGGGACTAAACATGTGCAATTTTAAAAATGAGAGGAAACAGCAAAAAATGCATATGCATAAGACAGGTCTTATAACCGCTTACTTTACAGTCAGGCTTATCCTCAAGGAAATAAGTGAGACAAATACATTTTACACAGCTATAGTTTAATATAAAAGAAAGTCAAGTTGTATCCTAAAAATCTTACCTCACTGATATTCAAAGATTTTGCTTAGCTTAGAGAGATCTCGGGAAGTTCTGCTATTTGGGTATAATTATGTTGACTTCTCTCCATGTTCTTTATAAAGCCTCTGCAAAATTCAGAAAATACTTTGTAGGGCACCATTACATGTTTTTGTGCATAGTAACCCTTTCCACCCTCCACCAAATCAATCCTTATCAAATTAATTCAAGAACTATAGTCAATATAAGAATTCATTAAGTTATGATTTTCTTGTGACTGTCTTTATTAACTGGAGATTTAAAATCTCAGTTTCGGTTGCGGCATCTAGAATCTGGAGCAGTCTTCTAAGTCAGCTATTTCCAAAGTTGTGTCACTGAAACCTTTTTGACAAATTGTAAATTCCTTCCTTGGTATACAGCCAAACCATTCTTTGCTTATCATATAGTAAAGTTTATAATAGTGATGATTCACAACAGCAGTAAGGTTTTTTTTTTAATTTAAATATGACTACATTAATTAGCTTCTGTCAAAGAATTGCATCCCATTATCTCAACTGAGTGTTGTACGGGGAGATGAGAAATTGGTATGGCTGTTCATGATAGAAATTCTTTTCTAAAATACAGCACTTGCAGGACAACGTGCTCTGGAAGACGGAAATTATTCCTGCTGTTTTCTGAGTTTTGAAATCCTTGATGGCAGATTTATTCATTTATAAGCCTGAGTAAGATAATTATTTTAACTCTTGAATATGAATATGGAATGCTTCACAGGGCTTATTTATTTATCAACATACCATACATGTTCTCCTGAGCTGTGGTGATAACTTAGGAAAAATGCCTTTCCCAATAATGCTTAACTGGTACCTACTGTGTTATTTTTTCACTGTGAGGTAATAATTATTTTCCCAGGCTTTAGATCTCCTGAGCACTTATGTTATTATTTAATTTGCTTATTTTATTGTTTTATTTTACTTTATATTAGGATTATTTCTAATGGATAGCTGTATTTAAATTTGAATACAACAACATAAATCATTTTTCATCCTCGTGGAATTGTCTTTTGAGTGTATCCATCAAAGAATTACCTAATACTTTAGAAATTGAATCTGCTACAGATTATGTATATGGCTATATAAAGATTGAAGTGATTTGTATTACTGGCACTGATTTATTGTAAAAAAGAGAATTGTTAATTAATTGTTTCAGTGAGAGAAAGAGAAATTCATACAGTATTTAAAATGTTCCCTAAGGAGAAAAAAATTAATATTACAAATATAATGCTGATATGGTTGTAAATTGCTAAACATATGTTTAATGTACCAAACTGTATGAGTCAGGATAGGGTTACAATTTATCTGTCTATATATGAGTGTTCTCCTAGGCTTTTTAGAAGTATGGTAGGTTTCATTAACACAAGTTTCTCATTTCCTGAGAATGAGGTCAATGGAAGAGAAAACTAGTGCTTCAATCAGATCATTCCAAGAGGCTACCACTTTTATAATCATAATGTATATACATTACAACTTACATCCACAGCTGGTTTATAACTAATTCTAGCTGGATCATCTCAGGAGTGTCTTTAATACTGGTAAACTTCAAAGCAATGGGTGCTGACGGTATTTCTTCTGTTTGAGCAAAAAAAAAAAAAGAGGGAGAAGATCAAAGCAGTGAATTTTGTGCTGCTTTCTTTATGCTATTTGAAATAAAAAAATCATTAGGTTGCTTGAGGATTAGAAGTGAATGTGTAAACATAATTTATTATTCTCTTTCTTCATGCTTATCACCTGAAAACTTTCAGTTAGAATTAGTTTCATTTAAAACTATTTTTACTAGTGTGATCATACAGCCATTTCCACTTAAAATTTAAGGAAAACATTTCAAGAGGATTATGTGGTAATAAAATGCCCAGATTCCCATGAAAAAAACCTTCATGCATTCCCCTGAAGTCTGAAATACAAACTAGCATTTATATGGTAAGCCCTTGAAGTAAAAACAGCTATTTGAATATAATACTACAATGATTTTTTGTGCATTATTTGATATCTGATGATTTGTTTTCATGAACCCAAATAATAAAAATTGAAGCCAAGTCAAAGAGGCATTTCTGTAGCCTATCTTACTGCTTATTTACACAAAAAAATGTGATATTTGATCATATGTTTTTCCTGTATTTATATACAGATCGTTCACTTCATAGGACACTGGATTGTGACATTTATATTAACATTCACTTCTTTATTGCTTCTTTATTGAGCTATTTCCACAAGTGTGAAAATAATTGGTTTCACAAATTTAACTGTTGTAATAAAAACATTTTAAATATTTTTTTAAAATATGGTAGACACTTGCTTCAAAAACTAAAAATATCCTCGTACGTATAAAGATAGAGTTTCATAACAATTACGTCTTGGGTTGCTAGAGACAAAGACTAATAGTTATCCAATTTTTTGAAAATACTTCCTTCAAAATTATATTGAAGCAAAAGTGAAATATAGTTGGTAAAAACCACAGCTTCCCAAGCACTGCATTTATCTTCTCTATTTTCCTTAATTATCCTCGTGCCTTCGTTATTTTTGCTTTTTTTTGTAACATTTTATTTGTTGTTTTATTTTGGGTTTTGGTGTTTTCACATTAAATGGCAGTGCTTTGGAAGCTGTGGTTTTTACCAATACTATATTTCACTTTTGCTTGGCATTATAATTTGAAGGAAATGTATTTTCTAAAAAATTGGATATCTATTAGTCTTTGCTCTTAGCAACCAAAGACGTAATTGTTATGAACTCTATCTTATACGTACGAGGATATTTTTAGTTTTGAAGCAAGGTCTACTTTTTTAAAAAAAATATTTTAAAGTTTTTATTACAACAGTTAAATTGGTGAACCAATTATTTTCACTTGTGGTAATAGCTCAATAAGAAGCAATAAGAAGTGATGTTAATATAAATGTCACATATCCAGGTCCTTGAAGTGAACGATCTGTATATAATTACAGGAAAAACATATGATCAAATATACATTTTTTTGTGTAACATATGCAGTAGATAGGCTACAGAAATGCCTCTTTGATTGGCTTCAATTTTTATTATTTGTGTTCATGACACAAATCATAGATTTCAAATAATGCACAAAATTATTGTAGTATTATATTCAAAAGCGTTTTACTTCAAGGGCTTACAATATAGAATGCTAGTTTGTATTTCAGACTTCAGGGGAATGCATGAAGGTTTTTTTCATGGGATTCTGGGCATTTTATTACACATAATCCTCTTGAAATGTTTTCCTTAAATTTTAAGTGGAATTGCTGTATGATCACACTAGTAAAATTAGTTTTAAATGGAAACTAATTCTAATACTGAAAGTTTTCAGGTGATACGCATGAAGAAAGAGGAATAATAATTATGTTTACACATTCACTCTAATTCAGCAACCTATGATTTTTTTATTTCAAATAGCATGAAAGAGCAGCACAAAATTCACTGCTTTGATCTCTTTCTTTTTTTTTTTTTTGCTCAACAGAAGAAATACCGTCAGCCCCCATATGCTTGAAGTTTACCAGTATTAAAGGACACTCCTGAGATGATCCAGGCTAGAATTAGTTATAACCAGGCTGTGGATGTAAGTTGTAATGTATATACATTAATGATTATAAAAGTGGTAGCCTCTTTGAATGATCTGATTGAGCATAGATTTCTCTGTCATTGACCTCATTCTCAGGAACTGAGAAACTTGTGTTAATGGAAACCTACCATTCTTCTAAAAAGCTAGGAGAACACTCTATTATAGACAGATAAATTTGTAACCCTATCCTGACTCATACAGTTTGGTACATTAACATATGTTTACAATTTACAACCATACAGCATTATATTTGTAATAAGTTATTTTTCCTTAGGGAACATTTTAAATACTGTATGAATTTCTCTTTTCTCACTGAAACAATTATTAACAATTCTCTTTTTTACAATAAATCAGTGCCAGTAATACAAATCACTTCAATCTTATATAGCCATAATAATCTGTAGCAGATCATTTCTAAAGTATTAGGTAATTCTTTGATGGATTACACTCAAAAGACAATTACACGAGATGATAAATGATTTATGTTGTTGTATTTCAAATTTAAATACAGCTATCCATTTAGAAATAATCCTAATATTAATGTAAAATAAAAAATAAAATAAGCAATTAAATATAACATAAGTGCTCAGTGAGATCTAAAGCCTGGGAAAATAATTATTACCTCACAGTGAAAAAATAACACAGTAGGTACCAGTTAAGCATTATTGGGAAGAGGCATTTTCCTAAGTGTATCACCACAGCTCAGGAGAACATGTATGGTATGTGATAAAGAAATAAGCCTGTGAAGCAATTCCATATTCTTATTCAAGAGTTAAAAATAATTATCTTACTCAGGGCTGATAAATGAATAAATCTGCCATCAAGGATTTCAAAACTCAGAAAACAGCAGGAGATATTCCGTCTTCCAGAGCACGTTGTCCTGCAAGTGCTGTATTTTAGAAAAAGAATTTCTATCATGAGACAGCAGCATACCAATTCTCCCCCGTACACACTCAGTTGGAGATAATGGGATGCTATTCTTTGACAGAAAGCTAATTAATGTAGTCATATTTAAATTAAAAAAAAAAACATTTACTGCTGTTGTGAATCATCACTTTATAAACTTTACTATATGATAGCAAAGAATGGTTTGGCTGTATACCAAGGAAGGATTTACTATTATGTCAAAAGGTTTCAGGACACAACTGGAAATTCTGACTTAGAAGACTGCTCCAGATTCTAGATGCCGCAACCGAAACTGAGAGTTTTAATCTCCAGTTAATAAAGACAGTCACAAGAAAATCATAACTTAATGAATTTTATATTGACTTATAGTTCTTGAATTAATTTGATAAGGATTGATTTGGTGGAGGGTGGAAAGGGTTACTATGCACAAAAACATGTAATGGTGCCCTACAAAGTATTTTCTGAATTTTGCAGAGGCTTTATAAAGAACATGGAGAGAATGTCAACATAATTATTCCAAATAG